GCACTCGAGGGGCGACTTCTAGTCGCAATTTGATTGCACACAGTAAAACTGTAAAATTTTAAATTCAATATTAAATTTCGTGTAAGGTATCAACGCGTGAAACACAAAGATAAAATAGTTCTGTCTCTTAATTGATGGAAGATTTTTCTCTACATTAGTTGCAAATAACGTTATCGATACTTCATCAGGAAATAATGAATATTTATACTATCGAATATTATCGAGTGCAAAGGGTTAACATAATAATTACATTTTTTAGATACATTTCCTTTATAACTCTCGAATCATATTTTTCGGGAAGCGAAGCGGAGTATCGCCTTCTCGAAAATAAGATGAAAGGCACCGATTGATAACATCTTCGAATGAAAATGTAAATTTCCGTGTTAAGACTCCTCCACTCGTACCCACTTTTCTTCTTGGATGCGCGTGTCTCGAATGCAAGCGTTTCTTGGACACCGATCGGCGCCGGTTCTCTTTGAATAAAAAGAACAAGACTAAATATCTGAAATTTTCCCATTGCTTGTTCCCAATTCTCTCTCCCTTCGCGAAGGAAGTCGCAATGTTTTTCTAGAAAATTCTAGCGAGCTTCCAATAGGAAGGAAAGTGAAAGAGAAAATCGCGGCGAAGTATCTTTTAAACTTTTCCGCCCGCGGCCATTCAAATCCTCACGCAGGAAACGAAAGTTCGAAAGTCAAACGTGACGGCTTCCGGCCACCCCCCGTAAGCAGTCTTCCGTGCAACCCCTCGCAATGGCGGCGCGGCGTGGCGTTTCGTTGATTCGCAACTCACAAGGAAGGACAAGGAGATCGCATTACCTTCCACGGAGGAGCAACCCCCGAATAGAAGAATGGCGTTTGGCGGGCAGCGTGGGGGGTGAAGAACGTTCGCCGGGATTTAAGGCTCCATAAATCCGGTCGGACCATCCCTTAAGCCCCCTACGCCGTGGTCAGTCGGCTTTTACCAGATTGTATTCCGCGATATCTTTCGCGTGGACCCTCGGTTAAACGCCTTTCACCTGACTCCCTTTAATAGAGCGCCTTCTTTCGATTGCGACCGCTCTAAGTATCGCCGATTATTTCACCGAGTAAGCCAAACGCATAAGGGAAATAGAAAAAGTAGAATTTCCTTGGGTGTCTCGTGGTATCAATTGTGCGGTGTTCCAAAGATGATTAAAATTACGATTGCTGTAAACATCGATTATTTGTCCCAGTGAGTTGAACGCGTAAAGTCAATAGAAAAACTGAGATTTTCTTAGGTTACATTTCTCAGGGTACCACTTTCGTGATGTTCCAACTACTGTTATAAGATAAAGTAAGAGTAAAAGAGACTTAGCTGATTAGGTGATTGCACCGGAAATACTTAAAACTGTGGTGTCTAATCATTTGAAGAAATTTAGTGAAGTTTTCGTGTTATTTGAAACCTAATGAAATGTTTAATAATCTCGAGAAATTTCTTATCTAGAAACACTCTTTTAAACGAGGTATCATAAATACATTCGTGTTAAGATTAAGAAACTTATTTAACAGTTAGTAAATTAATTACACAAGAGCCTGATATATCAGATTGCAGCCCCACTTTTCGAATCCCCAATTCTCGAGTCCGCGGACTAAGGCAACCGTAATTTCCTCGGATTTACGAGGCATACCGATATCAATGAGCGCCGAAATACCGGTTGAGAATCATCGACCCGATAAGAGACGATGGCAAGAGGTAGAGAGAAATCCAAAGGATTCGGCCGGGATCCGAGGTGATCCCGCGGAGCGTCGCGATGTAGCAGAAGTCTTGCTGCAATCCGGGGAAATTGAAACGTTAAGGGAATGAAAGTCCGGCTCTGGGATTCTCTTCGACAAATATTCGACTGGCGCAGCAGCCGATACGAGAAACGGCTGACGCATTTTCCAACTATTGTTGAACCTCGATTATCCGATTTAAATAGGCAACTAACTGTCCAGGTAAATATAGGGTCGAGAAAAAGTTCCTCGAAAGATGTTTGCAAAATTCGATCGTACATATCTTGAGGAATGGTTTGTAACAAGAATATAGGTCCACTCAGATTTTTTATCTTAACTCTGAAAATACCTTATCGATTCGGGTAAAGCTTCTTTTAGGATCGAAATATTGTAGAATTTCATATGAAGTCTTATTTCTTTACCAGATTAAATGTGATTGTTGTCAATTTTCGTAAGAATTGTAACATAGTTGTAGTAAATTATAACTGTTATAATAAATATATTTACAATATAGTTGTTGTAGTGCTATAATATGTTATAATAAATTACAACAAAATTGTAGTCCAAGAATCCGAATTATCGAGTCACTGAATAACCAAAACACTGAAAGGTCCAAATCGCGAAGAGTTTTGACTCGGTTAATCAAGATCCTACTGTACCAGGAAGCTGGTGCGATTTATTAGCTCGCAGGCGTCGCGAGAGAGAAAGAGAGAAAGTTAAATCGCGTGAAATACTGCTTTCGGCACATTGGTCGAGCGCAATTATTGATAGGGCCCGCAGCAGGCGGAGGGCGATTCTGGCCGCGCGGAGAATCGAAAGGGTGCAATCAATGTACCGTGCAACGCTTCGATTTAAATTCATGAATAATTCCTCCCACCAGCCGGTCGAAGATCGACGAGCTCTCAGCTCTGTCCTTTTCTGTTCTTCTTCTTCTTTTTTTCCTTTTTTTTTGTGTCGACCGCGGTTCATTCGGATCCAACCGAACTTGCGCCTTGGTTTAATCAAGGAAATGTCCGACGTACGATCGCCCGGAATTATTTTCATCCCCGACAACGATCGGATCCCGGGAAATTCATATAATCTGTTCGATTTTTAAATTCGGAAAATTGGAATTCCCTTCTGCATCAAATGAAAAGTGCATTACACGTTTTCGAGATATAAGTTATCATCGATGCTCGATATCGAAACAATGGAGGCACACAGTTGGAAATGTTAGTATGTTCGTGAACCCCGATCAATTTTTCCATTCATTTTTGGAACTAGGGGAAGGGCGTGCCGACGCGGAATCAGAGATTAAAACGGGAAAATAATTCTCGTGGATTGGTTTTTCGGCTAAAATTGATCGTTCTGGTGGTAACAATAAAATAATCCTCATGGTCCCTTTTATAAACTAGATCACAAACTGAAAGCTTACCCTTTTCTAAACCCTTCAAAAATCAATTAAAAAATTCCAAAATCAATAACACCCAGTTCAAAGGGAAGTATCTATAAAAACCAACAGCTACACGACTTCCATTTTCTAAAAAAAATACTTTCCCAAGTTAAAAAGAAAAACTTATCCCATTGTCACATAACGACAAATAAGGTTCGAGAAAATCCATTGGATTGAACAAGCGTCAATTTCCTACATTTCACATGCATCTGGCTGTTTCGCTACTTTCAACGTTTCACCTTCGCGTTTATTATGCACTAACAATAAATGAAACGTTTCTCCCACTATTAATAAACGAAACATACACAAATAATTTACTAAGAAATGACAAACTAGCATTTACAACAAAGGAAACCCTTCTTCCACTATCAGATTATCGATACTAAAATCACTCCAGCTCGGTCGCAAGAAAGATCGCACAGTAAGGGGTAGATCGCAGCCAAAGACAACGGTGAACTTTGTATTCAATTCCTCGGTCGTTCGTATCGTACATCAACATAAAAGAATCCGGTCCTTCGTTTCGTGCTGTTCCCTCTAATTTGAACGCAGAAAACTCGACGCTCGGTGGCCGAACATAAAATTCGCGGTGGTGATTCCGGAGTGGAATCGCGGCTGAACGAAACGGACGCGGCCGGAAGCCCGGGCAAGCAAAGGAGCCTCGGTTATCGCTGCAGATCAGCGTTATCCTAACGGGAAAGCGAATCGTAAATAGAGCGTATTTGCCTGGAACAGTCCTAACCGAAGTTTTATTTGCTCGTTAAGTTGGCCCCCACCACCGCCCTCGCCCCTCTCCCCGTTTTTCTCTTTTTACGATTCATTTCGCGTTCCGCTGGATGCTGCTCCAGGGTGGCAATAAAACCCGGCCGCTTATGCTCATCAGAGTCGAAAAGCGTCGACGTTGTCCCGATAAAAAAAAATATTTCCGCACGCGGTCCGCGCGATGCACCGGAAGAACCGTTGAAAATTATCGGGGCACGGGCGTGCGGGTGGAACGCTCGGGGGGAGGAGTTCAGTGATCTTGAACAGATAGAAATTTGCATGTGAATCGAAGAAAATGGGGCGCGACGGTTACTTCGCAATGGAGGGCAGTGGGACGAGCCTAAATGACGTTAGGGAAAACTGGTTCAACGGGGATTCGATGATCTGGAGTAAACGCGCGGGGGAATATTTTTGTGGAAAATTGAAACGGATTCTTGTATATTTCAAGGGAATTACATATATACCTGCTGTCTATTGATGAATTTATTTATCCAATTCTGAGGTTCAATGAGAACGTGATTGTATTGTGAGAACGATGGAAATTGTTTTTGCGAGATTGATATGAATCTTATGTACTCGAAGAGAATTGGTTGCTGCACTCGATGTTAATAGATTTTCGCGTGTATATATGGATATTTACTATTGAATTTATATTGAAATTAAATTAAAACGAATATTGGAGTGGAAATGATATTGAATTTAATTATATTTACCTTCATATCGAATCGAGAGGTATCTACAGTCTATTCGGCAATTTATTCGATGATCTTGCGTGAGTGGATGTATGGAGGAATGTAATATTTTAGATAATTGTTGCGGATTTTATATACGCGACGTAAATTAGTTTCTGTATTCGACGTTAATTAAATTTCATATGTATAGAGGTATTAATTGTTGAATTTATATTGGAAGTGAAATTGCAATTAACACTGAAGTGAAAATGATGTTAAATTTCATTTACCTTTATATTGTATCGCGTCTCTTATGTTTGTATTTTATATAAATGCATAAATATCTGCAGTCTATCTATTTGAGTAACGTTTGACATTGTAACTGACAAGAGCATGAATTTGTTACAGCGAGAAGCTACGCAACGAGATGTGGAACGTGAACGACGACAACGAATGGAAGCCGAAGCTCGTGTTCGCGAGGCTACGGCTGAAGCCGAGAGAGCACGTTCCAGAGTTCATCACCTTCAGAGAGAGTTGGCCAGGTAAATAAATTTCATCCATATCGTAGCATTTTCTGTTGTAGATAATTTAATTTTTTAAACAATATTCTACGTCTGTTGAAATAAATTGTTTCATTCAATTTCCCGATTTTAATAACTACATTCAATATTTAATCGTCGAAATGTTCTTTCTTATTAATTCATTCATTTATATCCTGTACGTACCATTCGAACCATTTTTATGATTTTATCGTTTATTTTACATAAGCAGATATTGAAATATTATGCATAGAATAAGGGAAAATATTATTATATTAATAACAAATACGATACAATTATTTTTATTGAAAAATCAGAAGTCAAATAATTGTAGCTTTTATAATTGCTTTTAGTTTTTTGCTTTTCAATTAAAAAATCAATGTCTCGTGTAGTCTTCATTTGAAAGGGAAGTTGGGTATGTAGAAACAGTTGAAGAAACCGTCTTCAAAATGGCAACTGCGTGCACCACTTCCGGCGCAGATTCATTTCGAATTCCATCGGCGTGCCAATCGCTCTTTTAATTTCCCGACTCCAGCCACAATACTTGTGCAATACGCCTCAATTTAATTAAAATCTGTTATACACATATACAGTAAAAACACTCGGATCGTTAGCGTGACGAGATATGCACATTATATACGAACCCGGAAAGATTGAAATTCAACATGGATATTTTTGTTCGCCGATCGCGCATAATGGGACTCGCAAACCCAATTAATGTCCAATGACATCAATTTCAGCGTTCAGCTTACTCAGCGTCTATTAACAGTGACTACCGCCGTTTTACAATAATTAAGAGTAAACAACGCGTAAATCGATAGCTTGTAATATTACACGGTCTCCGAGCAAAATTAACAATATTCGTTTTCGTTCGTGTCGCTCCGCGCGCAAAATACACAGCACAAATTTTAAATAACGAGAATGAAATTTATATTGATGCCACTTTCATGACCTGCTCGGCTTTCGTACAATAATTTCAACATTTTTCTAATTATACTTGAAACTTACTTTACAATTGAAGTACAACCAACGCACATTCATCGATGTACTTAAATTTTCTACTTTCCAATCAATTCATTGAATCCCTTCACGCCAATAAATGAAAATAAAAAAGTGCTAGAACAAAAACAATTTATCAACTAAAAGTTTAACATATTTACTCGAAGCATTTCAAACAATATCCAACTCATTCTTCATCATCCCCTTCGATCTTCAATGCCAACACCTTTAAAGTACGATCTTCCGTACAGAATCGAACTCAGTCAATACCAAAACCAATATTCCACGATCGTCTAAGCAAAAATTTCGAGACGTCCACGTTTACCATCGGCGAGCAGGATAAGAGACACACCGGGTCTGTAAGTCGACTCGGTTGCCAAACATCCGGCAGTAATTCGAGGCGCTTGTTCGACATCGATTTCCTCCTTCCCCGGTTTCTCTCTGCACACCAGGTCTTTTCTCTCTGTTTCGCCGCACCGCGACGGTCGACGGTGGCTCGCGAAAATCGGTTATTTCATCGAGCCGCAGACAGCACTTTATTTTCCCCACCACGCTGCCCGGAAAAGTGCCGGCGCGATATAACGTATAAATAATGAGACCGCGTTTCCCACGCAATAACTAGCAGGTTTCATGGTAAATCATCGGTATTGGCATTCTTCCAATAACGTATCGCGACTAGGCGGCGGTCACCCCCGCGGATATATTATCAGAGTATCGAGGCAGCCGAGATTACAACACTCTCACCCCTCCGAAACCGCTCCCAACGAATCCGACGCAGCGAGAATTGAACGCAGCGAATCGTGAAAAGTCTGCGCCGACCGACCCGGCTGGCTATCGTTTACATTCACTTTTTGTTTATCGAATATTCCCGCGTCGGATTAATGGAATTTGTTAATTGAACGTTTCGTCGGGGGATGCCCCGGTGTTTGCGGGACTCGTTAGTGGAAGAACGATGTTTCGTATTTTTGCGTGTCGGGTTGTTTGCCGTTGGCGGACGTAAGCGTGTTTCGCGTGTTTAGGGGTTGACGGTCGATCGCGTTACGCGATGGTTTGATGGAATTCGCCGGAATGTTTGACAGAAACGATGTTTTGATCTGCAGGCGGTTTTATCGCGCCAGGTTTTTATTAAACGATTTATTGAAGATCAACCCTTTCGAGAGGTGGTTTTTCAGTCGCCACTTTATTTAATACAGGGAAATTATCAAGTTGCGTATAATAAGCTTTCTCATCTATACTTGGAGTATAATTAAAGTAATGTAGCTTTATTACTTAACTTATGTACGTTTTCTCATTACTCAGTTTTAAAGAATTTGAATATTCCTAGGGACGAGCTTATGAGTGCAAGGGGTTAATAATCGATGCCTAAGAATTGCTTTATTAAACTTTCAATCATAATGGCAATCATGAATCAGTGAATCATATCGAGTGACATAGTCTCCCTATTATTCGGTGCCTGTCGCTAAGAAAAATGTTTAGCCCGTTTTTTAATGCAAGACTGTAAGTCACTGGAAAACCTATTAGTAGCTGTCCAATGGATAAAGTGTTAAGACAATTAGGGGTTGGCTGGATTTTTCGTTGGTAATTCATGGGAACGAAAAGTGCTTACGAGTGACACGTGACCCGAAGGCAAGAGGTCGCCGATAATTCTTCCATATTGGCTCTCTCTACTGGCGACAAATCTCGACGTCGAAAATGGTACCCGGCGGATATATTACAGCGGATATTGGAAGGTGGAGCCGCGACATTAAATCGTAAGAGGTTGTTCGATCCGGTAAAGGGCAACGTTTCAGAAATGGATCGCGGCGATGACTACCGCACCGGAACTAATTACAAAGAAATCTTCGTCTCCTAATGATCGGTGGAAGCGTTCATCGGTGTTCCACGATTTCAACGACGCAAAACCGGGACGCAGTTTTTGCTGGGGGTTTGAACAAAAAGATCGCTACGACGTCGCCGTACAACTCTATCCGATTCCGCAGTTTAAACGAATAATTCTGAGAAGTAAGATGAATCTATAGAGTGTCTCAATTAAGTTTAATATCTAAATTACTTCCGTTACGAATGAAAAAAGGACAGACGAGAGGAGTCCATGCGGTTTCAGGATACGTGCATCCTACGATGACAGAGAATTCTTCGCCGTTTTCTCGTTAATATTATTTTTTCATTTATTAAATGACCCGAGTTCTCTTGGATGTTGCCCATAATCTGGCATCATAATTATGTTAATATAGAAGAAATAAGGATTACCTTCAAAATGACATTCAGAGTGACTTTAAATGGAGTTCCATCGTTATCATCTGCAATCTTTTTTATGAGATTGCAATCAATTTACATCTGATTACGTAGAGCATCATTTCCGTATCCAAAGAATATCGATTGTAAATACATTTATTACGGGTATTCTTTGACAGTATAATTTATATATTATTTTCGGTGACAGTAACAGTCGAAGACGCCGTCATTCGAACGATCATAACAAATATCTGGACCACCCGTGCGCAATAAAAAGCGGGCTAAAACGGTCCATTAACAATTCTTATCGGTTCCTTATTTTACGCCTGGCAGCATGTAACGCGATGTAACGGCTGGCAGGAATTTATAGTAGTATAGTAGCCAACACTTGCCGCGGAAGATTAGAGAAATCGATTTCTTCGCTTTCCCTCTTGCCATTCGCGTAACTATAAATCCACTGGGAGGAAACGAAAAAAAAGGAGAAAAGAGAAGAGAAGAACGGGGAACAGCTTCTGCGTTATTAACGCGGATCGCCGCGATTGTAAAAAGAAAAGTCGGCGGAACTGTCCGTTATAAAGTATCGGAGAACAAGCTGCAGCGATTGCGCCGGAATCAAATAACGGCTTAATTATCCACGATTCATTAGTCATGTCGTATTATACGATCCGCGTGTTAAATGGGGTGTTAAGCGTTGTATAAAATATACCGTTGGAACGCTGCGGCGTGTTGCGTAAATGGAGAAAATTTCATTCTCGCGATTGTATCGCGCGCACCCGTGACACGGGCACCCGATTTCGAAAATTTTAATCATCGGCCAGTCTGATGGGCTCAAAAACCAATTATTTATCTACGAATCCGCGGAGTTTGTAATTTATACGCTTATAACTCAGTGCCGGGGACTACGAAGTACTTTTTCACGCGTTTAGAGTAGTGGGTTACGGAAAATAATCGAAAATTATCGGTTCCTCGATGGTACTATCCTCAATGAAATATATTATGAATGTTAAAACCTCACGTTGGAGAGAAAATTAATTCATTATTCTTCCGCAAGCGAGTACACATATCATTAGAGCTATAAACATATCTACTATTGCTTATCAAATTTATGATATACTCATTTTTGCTATACTTTTGATATACACTATGATATAATTATGATATACTTATATACTCTTATATGCTTCTATAAAAGCAGAGTGCATAGATATGTGAACTATTTATCAATTATGTTAACCAGAATTACTGATTCCATCGTAATCTTAACATCACGCATATCACAGTACTCGATCTGCAAGGTAAAACGTTCGAATACCTCATTTCTATAAAACGTCGGCTAGAAAAGAGCCAGTTCCAGATCCCAGAAAGTCGTTTTGATCCCCGAAAATCGCGCGGCGTCCCCACCAGAGTCACTTAGGGAAGCGAGACTCCGAGGGGAAGGCAGAAAGGATTGTCGAGCGAAAATTCGGCCGCGACAAAAACGCGAGGCGTGTCATCCGCGTGTATCCAGCGGCGCAGACAAGCGAAAGAGCACGTTGAACCGGAGCAACGCGGTCCTCGTCCCGTCCTGCACGTCCCTCCGCCGCCACTGCGACGAGTCACGTCCAACGCATCTCGGAAGCAGGACATGGCCGAGGCCGGGTCGGGGGGTTGCTCATGGCAGAATGCCACGAGAAACGAGACGCCGGCGTATTGTGCGTTGAAACGACAAAAGCACTGATGCGCTTCTCACGGGCCCGTGGCTCGCGACGCGACGCGACGCCATGCAGACGCTT